AATGGACGCGCTATTCCAGATATAGTTAGGCTACAGAACTATGTTTAACAAGTGACTATGTTATGTAATCCACATCCTCGCCCTTGCGTATCCCAAGGCAAACCTCGCCGACTGAGAGCGTATTTGACAACGCCCCGATCCTACCTGGGTTTATTTCCCTTGGCTAACTATGTATATGTACAAATGGATGCGATGTCCTTTAGTATGTCCTTTTCTTCGGTGGTACCGACGGACATTCAATCTCGTCCAGGGTCCTAAACGTGACCGCCCGATATCCAACCCGCACATCTTCCGCCTCCTCCCCTTGCCATGACAGGCTATGTTTTAGAAACTGATCATCATCTCTATCGGAGAAATCTTCCCGAGCATGGCTTCCCCGGCTTTCTTTTCTTTCAAGAGCGCTCTTTGCCGTTTGTGCTGCGCAAGTGAGGAGATTACGCATCTCCAAGGTTTCAACCAAGTCCGAGTTCCAGATTAAAGATTTGTCCTTGACACATACATCTTTCTTGAAAGCCTGCTCTACTTGTTGAACCCGAGACACGCCAGAAGACAGGGATTCTCCGGTGCGGAAAACTGCCACGTCCGACTGCATAGCTTTCTGCATCTCCAGACGCAATTCAGCTGTTAATTTGGTTCCATCGGATTTGCGAATCCTCTCCATATCTTCGAAAGATGTCATTCCAATATCTTTTGGTGAGGGTGCATGAGTCATTCCTTTTTCGTTATTTTCTGCGATATGTTGGGCGCTGGCTCGTCCAAAAACAGCAATGTCAAGGAGCGAGTTCGCACCAAGTCTGTTAGCTCCATGTACACTCACGCATGCTGTTTCTCCAACAGCATAAAGCCCTGGGACAGTCTTCTCTTTGCCAGTAATTGTGTCGACGTCAAGGACCTGGCCTTGATAGTTGGTGGGAATACCACCCATACAATAATGAACCGTGGGCAGCACCGGGATCGGCTGCTTTGTGATATCTATTCCTGCAAAAATCGAGGCTGTTTCCGCAATGCCCGGCAGCCGCTCAAGAATCAAGTCGCGTGGCAGATGCGATAACTGGAGGTAAATGTGGTCCCTCCCCGGCCCAACGCCACGGCCTTCGCGAATTTCCATATTCATAGAACGAGCGACAACGTCGCGACTTGCAAGATCCTTGGCAGTTGGGGCATATCTTTCCATAAACCTTTCTCCTTCTGAGTTCAATAAATAGCCCCCCTCTCCACGGGCGCCTTCGGTTATCAAGACGCCCGCCCCATATATACCACTGGGATGAAATTGAACGAACTCCATATCTTGAAGAGGGAGTCCAGCCCTGGCTACCATAGCGCAACCATCTCCCGTACTAGTGTGTGCCGATGTGCAAGAGAAATACGCACGGCCATAGCCACCAGTGGCTAGAACAATATCAACCCGACTGCCTTGCATTTCCAGATTTGCGGAAAACAAAGACTTACCTAGAATGGTATTCTTGCTAAATAGCCGATGGAGTGTTCCGGTCTCCATGTCCAACGCGACTGCTCCAACGCAAATACCATCTGCCATCATCAGGTCGAGGACAAAGAATTCGATCAAGAAACTGCAATTGTGCTGAAGAACAATCAGAAAATGAAGGTAGTCTTTATAGCGAGCAAATTGCTGACCTTCAGTGACTGCCCATAAAGCGTGTGCAGCATGGCATGCCCTGTGCGGTCCGCAGCGCATGCCGTTCTATATGCTTGGCCGCCGGTGCCATAGTTCAAGGATTGGCCTCCAATAGGTCGCTACAATATAAAAGACAGTTAACACTAAAGTCAGACAAACGAAGATAATTGGGCCACCAACCTGGTATATTTTACCTTCTGCGGTGCGAGAGAAAGGCATGCCATAGGCTTCTAGCTCTAGGATTGTCCGAGGGGCTTCTCTGCACATATAATGCTGTTTTATTGTCAGCCTTTCGATTATAGCCCGCCATGTAGCACATTCTTACGATTGCATCTTGGTCACCTAACCAATCCGAACCCTTGACGGTATCATACATATGCCATCTCCAGTCGTCTTCCGTCATATTCCCCAGGGCGGCGTTAATGCCGCCCTGCGCAGCGACCGTGTGGGATCTCGTTGGAAACTGTTTCGGACTCAGCTTACGCCTGTTTTAAGAGCACTCTATTTTTAAGTAGGGGTTTGGAACGCACCAGTTTCGTGATGCAGGCAGTTTCCAATCCGCTTTCTGCCAACCCTACAGCAGCCATAAGCCCGGCTCCACCAGCACCTATAACAATTGCGCTTGAAATGTTCAGTCTGAGACTCTGGCGCCGAACGGATTGTACACATACTCATATTTATGGTCTATGATGCTAAATTGACGAGTTCCGTCACTTGATCCTGGTGATATTCCTTCTACGGCGCCAGCGGACGCCGAAGAACTGAAAGCCCTGCTATTCCCCTTGCTATTATATAAACCTAGTTTCGAGATTTGCCTGCTTGGGTCGTAAGAAGCGTGTCTCCGCCACAAAGGTATTGGTATCACTCTATTTATATTTACTGGCCGAGGGCGATTGAAAAGAAGTGAGAGGGCCGGTTTGGAGGCCATTATGGAAGCCAGCTTCGCAATGGATAATAGATTTTAGAAATCACGTATTCCGGATCGAGGCTCGAAGGAAGTTGGGTTTGGATGCGGAGGGTGTCGTTATCAAGAATTCGTGAGTTGTGTAGAACGGAAAAGGTGCAAACGATCCAAGTGTATAACGTTCGGGCCAATGTTCTAGGCCGCACAGAATGAGAATCCGACGACGGATGAGAATCATTGCCAAACGAAGGGCATATCGCGATGAATGAAGCTGAGCCCCTCCATGCTGGAGCGCTTCACCAGTCCACGGGAGACGGATGGCACCTCGGAATATCTGCCGGGTAAAAAGGTACAGAGATCCACCGGCGGTTCTCGAAAACCTAGCATGACCGCGAAATGGACATTTCGAGATGGATTTGCTAGCATTGAGACCAACCGCATTGGCCGTCGTCGCTGGATACCGCGGCTAACAGCATCGGTTGCCGGACAAGCCAAACCTTACCAGCTAGATGCTGCTTAGTTGATAATGGGCCTCCGACCTTGAGTCAAATGCCATCCGACGTCGAAGCCATTGCAAGACAAGATGCGAATCTCTGGACGTTTGAAGGTATTCCTGAACTCATCATCGGACACTTGGAAACACATCGGCGCAGATAGATATCCGGAGTATGCTCGCATTCTAACCTTTCAAATTCATGGACGAGCGGTGGACTCACAAAAGAAGACTTTTCAAGCCCATGAAGGAATAGAGCAGGCAGTGGAGGGAAACCGCTCCACGACTTCAATCATCGTTGGAGGCGATGCGAGCTCTGAATACCGGTTTGCCCGCTTCATCGGTTCGTGCCGTCCGTCAGGGTCAAAAACGGATTCGAGGATCGAGACTCCATCTCCCGCGTAATTGACGGTCGCAAACAGAAACGGAATGACAATCGCACCGCAATCCTGGACCGTGGATCAAATAAGTCTCCAATCACTTCCAGGACGGGGAAGATTTAACGATTCCATCGCCAATGAAGGGATCTACGGCATCCATGATCTGGTGCACTCAGCTGCAAAGGATGAACATGATATCAGGTATCACTCCGGAGAATTAACCCGTAATCAATAAGTAGCGATGATCTTCTAGAGCGATCAACGAAAATCAATAGTGCGCCTTCGAGAGAGAGGCAATTTTCGGACGCCTTGACCGCTCGCAGAAGCCAAATTGCGAGTATCACAAAGTTTCTGGCTGGCTTGCCCATGATCGAAAGTGCATCAATTTCTCCACTGCGAAGCTACACAACCTAAAACATTCTTTGGACGAAGTTGCTCATCTGAGCCTGGGCTGGTTTATGACACTATTCATCGATGATGCCCGGCGATTGTTAGTCGTCGAGGCTCACATTCATGCCAGGGCGGGTCACTGATCAACGTTAAAAGCTGCGAGAGCGATGATGCTCTTCACGCAGAGGCACTGACACGGTCGCTTTTAGGATTCTTCTTGTGGCACTTGGCTGGACAAATCTTGGGCTCCGTACGGAGTAAACTGGGCATGCATCAAGCTCCCCCAGATCTCGCCAGCGCCAAAACAAGGTCAGGAAAATGAAGATCGCTGTTGGAATTTGACGTTGAGATAGGTCAGAAGGCATGTTCCTGATTCTGGGGACCTATCCTACGCATATTTCTTTTGCGGATTGAAATCTTGTCAGGGGCCCGCCAATGACCGTGAAGAAAAAAGCAAAAAGAAAAAAGAAAATTCGACGGAAAACCCACCAGACTGCAAAGGCCAGCCGGTTTGAGGATCGAATCAAGATTTCGCCCAATATTCTCTGTATGGAGTATCGATCCGCATCAAGCTCTCCGTGGCGCTGAGGCGAGGAATCCCGACAAAGAGAATCCTGTGTGCGGCCAGAAAGGTCAGGCGCATTGGTTTTGCAGGAGTTTATCCAACGCAACTGCTGGATGCATTGAATGAATCTTCGAGCCTTGCAGACAAACTGTCTCGGATTAACACGATGAATAAATTGTCATGAAAAACTATGCTAAGCATCTGCAAATCTGGAATCGAGTGGGCATTTCGCAAATCACCGGCTTCGGGAAGAGGGAGAGCTCTTTGCTTTTTTTGAAGGTCAAAGTTGCACAGATCAATATATTGTCCGCTTTCTCCTTGATTGTGCGTCGAGCGCTGTCAATTTTCGGCAGTGATTTTCAATGAGCTCTGTGCTCCTGGCTGTGAAGCTGCAGCAGAGTTCGCAGACTAGAATCGTGGATCAGCGCCGGCACAGATGGTTCCAGCCTCTCGCTGGGACAGATGGGCTTTTGTTTCGTCAAACATGCTCGTTTCTCACCCTGCATGGAAATGCATTCGCTGAGAGGGCCCAGTTTTCTCCAATATTTGGCGCCACGCCCGGGAGGCAGGCCGGTTAGGGACATGCCATGTCACAAGTGAAGATGATCCAGACGAAGCGGGATTGGGGTCCACGAAGGGCAAAGGATCTTCGTTTTCGAGAGAGGCCTGCAATGTCGCTGGGTGAGAATTCTCAGGGGCAGAAGACTGGATCAACAGGTCGTCAAAGTTATAAAAGGCCTATGTTCCCTTGGGGAATGAGACTCTTTTCTTCCATCAGCATCCATCTTCAGCTTCCACAGTCTTCACCGTTACTTTTACTACTTTAATATTTAATCCTTAATATCTGCCTCCCGGCTAAAACCAACTCCTTTCAAAATGAAGTTCTTCTACACTGCCTCTTTCTTCGCTTTGGCCACCGCTGCCTCTTGCGCTCCCAACTATGCTTCCAAGCCTGCTGTGAACCAGAAAATCGCCGCCCAGTGCGGTAACGAGAACCTTTCCTGCTGCAACAAGCAGATCAACAAGGTTGATGCCACCGGTGCTGATACCGACTTCGGTGTCCTCAACGGCATCGTCAAGAACCTCAACATCCAGGACATCTCCGTCTTCGACCAATGCTCCAAGCTTAACATTCCTAGTATGCTCCGAATCCAGTCAAGGGTCATTTCAAAGTTGGTATTCTCTAATCAGTATTATAGTCGGTGTCCTCGGTGCTGGTTTGTCCGACTTTCTCAACCAGAAGTGCAAGCAGACTGCTGCCTGCTGCCAGAACGTCAACTCCGAGGCCGTAAGTTCACCCTGGCCAACAAACATGATTGTCCTTTGAATACAGATTCTAACATAGCCTTAGAACGGTGCTGTTGCCGTCGCTGTTCCTTGCATTCCTCTCAACGTCCTCTAAATGGGTCGCACATAGCAATTCATCCGCCTTCATTGCCAAGGTCGACAGTTATTCGATGTGGTTCAGATGAAAGATTGGTGGAACGGTTAATAGACGTGCATTCGCAACTTTTGGACATAGTCTCTTAAGCGCCAGTTTTTGTCTCTCATTTTCATTTCTTTTGTCTGTCCATATCGAGTCAGGGGCGAATGAGATTTTATTGTTGTGGTGTGCACTGTTGAATTGGAAACTCCAACTTATATCTTGTGACTTATACTTGCTTTCTTCCATAAAATGTTCACTACGTAAGTTTCACTCATCAAAAACTAGCACGACAGTGAAATGTCTTTTGACATTTTTCAATTGAGCCTGAAGCCGCAATGAAACCAGACACTCCTATTAGTTGAGCTCTTCCTTGTGTTCTTGCGCAGCATATGAATACAGAGGCCACAATGTCTAGATTCCCGGTGCCAAAATGTCAAAAGGAACAGTAGAGATGGACAAAGCACACGAGCACGGAGTACGTACTCATGGCTAAAGCTTCAAATAAAGATCTATCTAGATTTAGAAGAGGCAATCGGGAGAAAATGCAAAAATGTCACATCCAAAAGCGCCATGCCCCGGTCGTGATCAGTTATCTAGTTGAACATCATGTGTCCATATCAAAGCTTGCTTTGAGGAGCAGACGGAGTATACAGAGCACTGATTTTGGCCATTGCCTCTGCAGCTTCTCTCTCGATGCGTTTCAAAAGCACTTCGCATGTCGGGATGTCTTGGATGAGACCAATCACTTGTCCCGCGGTCCACACCTATGACAAGAGTGAGTTCTCGGCTGAACAAAACAGCGCCAGAGAGGGCAAGGACAAAGTAGAAACTTACACCGTAGTCGACGTCGCCGTTCAGGAAGACTTGACGGCCTCTCTTACCGCTCATAAACGGCGCCATCTCAGAGAAATCCTCACCCTTTCCCTCCGTTTCAATTTTGTAGGCTTCGTTTGCGACCTTGTTTTTGAAAAGTCGGGTTGTGTTTCTCCAGCGGCGCAGAAGGAGCTTAGTATCTTCCTCGTGGGCGTCCACGATAGCCTGCTTCACATTCTGATGGATAGGCGCTTCTACAGTTGCCATAAATCTTGTACCCATGTTGATTCCCTCTGCGCCTAACGCTAAAGCAGCGGCCAGACCGTTTCCGTCGCCGAATCCACCAGACGCGATGAATGGGGTCTTGAGCTCTTGCCTAGCACGGCTGAGGAGGATGAAATTGGTGATATCGGTTTCACCCACATGCCCAGCACATTCGAATCCGTCGATAGACAAGAAGTCAACGCCGAGTTTCACGGCGGATTTCGCATGCCTGATAGTCGTGCATTTGTGAAGAATAATACAGCCGGCAGCCTTTAACTGTTTGATGACCGGCCCGGGGCTGTTCCCCGCGGTTTCAACGATCCGGATTCCTTCGTCGATGATAGCCTGAGCATACGCGCCATAGTCTGGGGGAACAAGAGAAGGAAGAAGCGTCACGTTGACGCCAAACGGCTTCTTGGTCATTTCACGTGTTCGGCGGATTTCTTTACGAAGGTCGTCAGGGGACGGTTGTGTAAGCGCTGTAAGCTGTTCAAAAAGTCAGACATGATTCACGCCTGAAATGGGCAATGTACCGCTCCTATGGGAGGACTTACAATTCCGAGGCCACCGGCATTACTGACAGCAGCTGCCATCTCCGCGTAACCAACCCATTGCATGCCACCCTGCACGACGGGAACTGCCGCGTCCTATTAGCAAGTGAAATGGAAGCAGGGGAGATACTCACTTTCAATTCCCAGCCTCCTGGTTAGTTCAGTATTGAAAGGCATCCTTGAAAGCTCTCTATTCTGGGGTATCAAATATAAAACTTATGATCAAGGCTCTATTAGAGCGACGAAAGCGATCGGCGCAATAGCGAGTGCAAGAGTGAACGTGTTATATAGATACTAACGAAGCGACTTCGACCCCTCTTTGTGAAAAAGAACGGAAGAAGTGAAAGTCTGCCGCCGTCGAGGCTGAGAATGCAGTCTTTTGCTTACCAGCAGCTGTCTTGTGATGCCCTGCCGAGAACCGAGGTTGCGGACTCAGTCTCGGCGCACGTGACCTGATATCAAAGGACCGACTTGGGCGTGATTAGATATTAGCAAAAGAACGGATTTCGTTGTCAAATGTGTGGTCTCTCATTAAGGGGATGTGTGTCCCTGGGACATAGTACTGGTGGGCTAAGCATGCTACCAAAAGTCCGAGAGCATTCCTCTGCTAGTTCCCCGTCCCGACATGTCGAGAGAAATCATACAGAGTGGTAGGAGGGTCCGTTAACGCACGCCATCTTGCAAGTAAGTTGACAGCCCTCTCTCCTTATCCCAGCAGAAGGTTCGTCAAACGCCCACAAAAGAGTATAAATACAGCATAGGAGCTGGAGAAGAGTAAAAAAAAAAAAGAGAAAGATCTCCTGCTCAACCCAGTCCAAAACCAATAGGAAGAGCAGATCTTGTCGGGTGGGAGCAAACGAACAGCCAGATGAAATCAACACCGCCGGGAAGTAGAAAATGCTTGGGTAAAAAGATATTTGTCCTTGTCATCCAGGATATTCAAATTTTGACCGTATATTTTCTGGTAGCCATGGTTGTGGTTCGGCGCGACTGTTGGCGGAACGGGCAAGCAATTCGAACGAATATGAATCTATTCCCGTGGATTAGTACAAATAATGTAACCCTGATATGAAACCCGAGCCTCTCATTGACAGAGTGGATTGGGCGATTAACGACGGGTCGAAGCAGTGCATCTCCTTCTCAGAACTCTTCTCATCTCAGGCGTCAACGACAGAAAGCCGCAACAGAAGTTGAGATGCCACCAAATACCGTCTCAATCACTGCAACCCACCGTCCACGCGAGTAGCAGGCTGACGCAGGTTGACAGAGACGAAGGCTGAGGCTCGATGATCAACAGGAACCAATGCTGTGAGTTGAGAATTTTCAGTGTTTGTGGCCCGGATAAACGATATTCAGTCCTTGTAAATGCGTGTTCCCTGATTGGCCCACATTCCGGCTCCCTCCGACACTGTGTTACATAAGCCGAGGTCCCCTTGATGATGCCCGACTTCCAGTCTTGATTGCTGCCAATTTTCTGTAGCTGCATTGATCAGGAGATAGCTTTGGCGACATTGATTCAGGCGCCATTTGCATTTGCAATGTTTTCACAAAAGGATAGTACAGCAATCTTTGCGGCGGGGTATGTTACGATCCATCATTGTTGCGAGATCTTGACACTAATTCGCTGCGCAGCCGCCGCCCGGAATCCGACCGCATTCAGATCCTCCCTTGCGAAATTCGCGGGCCCGGGAGCAATTGCTGTTGGCCAGATCAGGTCAGTACCCTATGCCGGAAGCTGTGGAATTCCTGTCACGATTCCGATCCGCTTCTAGCATAATTGTGATATCCTAAGCTGTGTCGTCGTCGTGCAATCAGCAACCACAACCTGAAACGTTGACACGGAAGCTTACAACTCGCAGACCAGCGACATCCACCTCGACACCATCCGCTGATACTACCGATCCCACTCAAATCCTTGCCAAACAGCGTCTCAACCGCCCCGTCGCCCCCCATCTCTCCATCTACAAACCCCAGATCTCTTGGTATCTCTCTGCTCTCAACCGTATTACTGGCTGCACTGTCTCTGGTGGTCTGTACCTCTTCGCCACAGCTTACCTTGTTGCCCCTGCTGTTGGCTGGCATCTGGAATCCATGTCACTTGCCGCTGCTTTTGGAGCCCTCCCTCTTGCAGCCAAGTTCGCAATCAAGTTTGGTGTCGCCATGCCCTTCACATTCCACTGCATGAATGGTGTGAGACATCTTGTCTGGGACTTTGGAAAGAAGATGACCAACAAGGATGTTATTGCTACTGGCTGGACAGTGGTTGGGTTGAGCGTTGCTAGCTCCCTTGCTTTGGCCTTGATTTGAATATAAAATTTGTTACATAGCCTTTTTTCCTGTGAATATATAAGTTACCTTCCATTCGGTCTCTAAGTTGTATTGTGGAGTAGTCATGGTTTAAACCTACAGCTACCTTCTTAAGAAGGCTAATCATGAACATAGTGAATTTCTTGAGTGGTGAAGAGGCCAGGAGATTGGCAGAGCTGATGGAAGTAGTGTATTATTTCGACCACAAGAGTCAGAAGTATCAACATCATTATTAGTACTATTTGAATTTCAAACGAAAACCCCCTCCCATTAACATATCAAGCACCCTGGGCACCCCTTGTTGTCTTTTGCGAATCATCCTCTTTGCCCTATGGAGACAAATCTTGACTCATTCCCCGAAAGTAGTGAATTGACGAATGTAGAAGCCATTGCGTATCGGCGTAACAGCTGTATTAAAAAACCATAATTGAATCACTTTTTTGATAAAGAACTTCTAGACACAGAGATCAGATTTTAGTAAATTATCACAAATAGAGCAGTTGGGATAAGCCAAAAGTTCTGGTCATAATGTCCCGAAATGCTAGGGGATCAAAAGGGCTGTTGGACAAACTTACTTTGTGGAGAATGCTCGGGCTCAGAAGAGACTTGCTTCACGCCAGCATTTAAGCTGGGCTTGGAGGTGGATTAGGAGGAAGTGGCGGGGAAACTGGGCGTCCAGAGATGGAGAAGTTTGTAGGCGGTTTAGTGCCTAAAATTTCGGATGTGTGAGGGCATGTTTTTCTCCGAAAAGGGGATATATCTTACCATTTTGAAGGAGTTTGATTGTGGCCTTAGACATTGTGAATAGCTGTGACTGCGAGTTCTTCTGTAATGAGCTTGAGATAGAGGGCAAAAGGGCGATTTTGGTCTCGTGGCCTTGTGGAGGAAATGTGTAGGATAAGAAGGAAGAAGAAATCGGAGGCTGTTTACAGCTTCTTATTGTGGACTCCCTGAACAGGCACGTGAGAAGCTCGCTAACAGCATGTGTTCTTCCTTGCCCTGAAGCAAAATCGAGAAGGTTCTATTTTCTCACTGATAGGGGTAATCAGATAACAAATATTGGTGCAATTTCTGTTCCATCTGGACGAACCCCCCCCTTCTTGAGACGGTATTGCTTCGCATCAAGGGTATGAGGTCGTACATGAAGCGATCCCGGAGAGATGCAAGGTCCCGCTCGCTCCACGTTTCCGCCCTTCGGCCCCGGAAAGGACCGTTGAGGTGGATATGGGGCCGTCTCCACGGTGGCTCAATCCTTCAGCATGTTTCATCCCAAGCCCGACGGTATCATGGGTATATTTGGCAACCTGCTCAAATAGCTCGTCTACGACGCAAACAGAGATAGAAACAAGTGAATACGCATTTTCATTCCATTAGCTGGAGGTGTATCCCGAAAGCAATAAACAAATACATCTCCCAGATAATCTAGGACAAGGGGCAGTACACCCTCGGCAAACCCAGGTGAACCTCCTCAGCCACACAATGAAGGATGTATAAAACGAGTGAATTAGACTTAGATCAAAGCCTAGAGAATAATAAGGTTGCTAACTAACAGGGCGCGGGAGTGGAAATCATGTGTGTTTCGAGAAGCCGAAGTTGGCTGCGAGATCCCTTCCGCGTGCCGTCACGACCCATAGGGCTGAGGTTGGCACAACGGGGACGGGGCGGCATAACTGTGGTCACCCCTAGGACGAGTAACCTGAGAAAAGGAAATGAAAACGAATACAGGTACACTTGAACACGAAATGAACTTTATCCCTGGCTTCCGATGTTGAACCCTGAGAGATTGGCGGGTAGTGCTCATCGGTTTGGTCGATGCAAGCCCCCATCCGCATGGCAGGTAGGGATAAATGGTTCTAGCCCTGGATAAAGGGTAAGTGTCTGCTGAGAGGCTTTTTGTTTTGGTTGCTTTAGAGATCATTTCAACGATTTGGGAACATAGGGCAGACAGGTATCACAGTGATTCCGGGGTATTTTTGGAAGCCCAGCTTTAGAAGGCAGATATCCACGGCTCGGAGGTCGGTGGCCATCCTCGCTATGTAATGAAATAGATTCTGTATTATCGAGAGTTACATCCTCGCACACTGATTTTGAAGAAGTGATCTCTTGATTGCTACGGGCAGAAGTCGTCTGCTGTGGAGAATTTGATGCTGCTCGACCAGGTCCCAACTAGGTTTAGCCCCAAATCTGGAGTTCCGCGCCAAGACTTCAGAGAAAATCGTCTTGAATGTGCCCTGGGATGCCTCAACATCTGCGGAAGTGAAGGAGTGTCTCTTGTACGCAGTCTATTGTGTTCTTTCCCGCCTTTAGCCCATTACCATGGCGTCCAAAATGCGACCAAGTCTCCCGTTTGCCGCAATTGCGCGACCTGTCCGCCGGCGCACATCATGCTTCGTTTTCTCGATACCAGCCTGCTCGCAACAAGGGCCCCGACGGGCAATGTCCACCGAGACGTCGACAGAGGAAGGACTTCCAGCACCTCCTCCGGCGCCTTCACCTCGATGGAAGCAGACTCCACCAGCAATGAAAGCGCCCGTTCGACTACGTGGATCTGGGTCTGAGCCACAATTCGAAGTGAACTCCGATCCCGAAAAGCTAGATAAATTCTACATTCGGATGCTAGGAGAAGGAGGTGATAAAATGCTCTCTGAAGAGGTCAAATGGCAGGCTGTGACACACAAGAGCTTTGATCAAGGAAGGAGAGGGTTCAATGATCGATTGGCTTACCTAGGTACGATTGCGGCAATATCTGGCGGTGGATTTTCCAGGCAGTGTCCTAACTTGTTGCAATATTAACAGGGAAACATGCGGTGGCCCTCCAAGCAACGCTCGCGCTCATGCAGAACCCCGCCTCTCATTCACAAAAACTACCAGAAGATCCTCACAACCGGACACCATTTGCGCACCCGGCGTTGGACGAGATAGAGGTATTGTCCAGTCCCACGGCGGAGACGTTGACAGAAAAGAAAAGAATTGCTGCACTAGCTAGACAGTATGAACTTGAGGGCGTATTGAGATGGCTACCTAGAATGGTACGCTCCCTGCCTTTTAAGTCAAACAGTGCTTGCAAGTTACTGACAAAACCACTTATGCAGCCCCGACATTTTACTCAGTCCGGAATTGATGTCGTTTTAGCGCAGACAATGTATGCGATCGTTGGTGCTGTGACACTTGAACGGGGCGGCGCCGTTTCAAACCGAATCGTGCGAGAGCGTATATTGAAGCCCCTGGGGTTCCAAATTGGTGGGTAATGACCAGATGAGCTGGGAAGATAAATGTTTCAGTCGGCATCCGCATGGCGTTTTGGAGAGATTATATTATTCAGAGATCCCATAAACCTATGTATTAACATACGATTTTACTCCAATTTCCCAATGAAAAGGGACAACAAGGATTGTGAGATGTATGATTTCTCTGACACCGGCCACGCCACAGTAAACAAACACGCGGTCAGCTCTTATGAAATCGTCGAGGCTTGGTCTTTGCACCGCATATCGCAAGATTCAGCAATTGAAAACCCGCGGCGTCGTCTCTCACAGAAAGTCAGAGGCGACGCACGGAAAAACCCAGAAGGCTTTTGTTGGCTTGCACTGTCTTTTCGGATGCATGAAAATGTGATGGAAAAGAGCAAAGGTGAATTTCAACAGAAGAAGTTTTTAAGGCTTCGCGAAGCACGGCGCTAGGCTTGATTGGGGCTAGGGCGGAGATCTGGAGACATCACCGATTCGGAGGGTCAATTGGGGCCTTGCTCAGGGTGCCTGACAAGCTTCTATATCTCGCGCCGGTCAGCACTGGGATTGACTGAGGATAAATCGTGCGCAGGTGGCATTCGAAGATCTTGCTTTTGAATTTTCTCTTCTTCCTTTGGCAAATTTGGCAATGGCCGCATGAAATCGTTGCCTCACGGCTGTAGCTACATGCATAGTCCTTCTTGATCAACTCTCCCCGTGCCAACTCTGACCATCATGGCCTCAGCACTCTTTTTCCTCGACCTAAAGGGCAAGGTAGATATTTCGATGAATCTGCGAATGCTTGCTGCTTTGTCGATACCATAAATGAACTGAGCTGATCCTCTCCTCTCGCAGACCCTTTTAGCCCGCAATTACCGGGGGGATATCCCCATGTCCGCTGTCGAAAAATTCCCAATTCTCCTAAGTGAGGCAGAAGAAGAGAGCTCCGCGGTTCCGCCCTGTTTTTCATCCGAGGGAATAAATGTACGTGGGACCATGAGCAACCACGCGTTTATGGATTCTGGTCTGCCGGCGCTAAACTGATATCTGTAGTATCTCTATATCCGCCATAGCAATCTTTACCTGTTGGCTCTAACGAAACGCAACACGAATGCCGCCGAAATTCTCCTTTTTCTTCATAAAATCGTCGAGGTGTTCACGGAATACTTCAAGGAATTAGAAGAGGAGAGTATCCGTGATAACTTCGTCATTATCTACGAGTTACTTGATGAAATGATGGATTTTGGTTACCCGCAGACGACCGAAAGCAAGATATTACAAGAGTACGCCCTCTCTGGCTCTAGAGCGAGAAATCCCTGCTTGGGACGAAAGGGAATCGGAGACTAACGTGTTCCAGATATATCACTCAAGAATCCCACAAATTAGAAATACAAGCACGACCCCCAATAGCTGTCACGAATGCAGTATCATGGCGAAGCGAAGGTATTCGATATCGAAAGAACGAGGTCTTCCTTGACGTGGTGGAATCTCTGAATCTACTGGTTTCTGCAAATGGAAACGTCTTGCGTTCGGAGATTCTCGGGGCGATCAAAATGAAATGTTATCTTAGTGGCATGCCGGAACTAAGGTTGGGCTTGAACGATAAGGTTATGTTTGAGACGACCGGACGAGCAACGAGGGGCAAAGCTGTCGAGATGGAAGACGTCAAGTTCCACCAATGCGTCCGGTTATCCCGATTTGAGAATGATCGTACTATCAGTTTTATCCCACCGGATGGGGAATTTGAACTGATGAGTTATCGTTTGAATACGCAAGTCAAACCACTAATCTGGGTAGAATGCCTCGTGGAGTCGCATTCTGGCTCGAGAATCGAGTATATGCTGAAAGTAAGGCTTGCTAAATCAACACTGTGAACGAGTTGGTGCCTAATGACTAACCAATCCCTATGTCGGTTAGGCGAAAGCACAATTCAAGCGTCGCAGCACGGCGAACAACGTGGAAATTCTAGTCCCTGTCCCGGAAGACGCTGATTCGCCTCGATTTAGAACGAACATTGGAACTGTTCATTATGCTCCCGAGAAGTCCGCCATAATATGGAAAATTAAGCAATTCGGAGGTGGAAAAGAATTCCTCATGCGCGCCGAATTAGGATTACCATCCGTTAAGGGTGATGATGAACATGGGGGTGGCATGACTGGTGGCTTTGGAGGAAGCATGGGTGGTGCAGGACAAACTGCAAAGGGTAAAAGACCCATCAACGTCAAATTTGAGATTCCGTACTTCACGACCAGCGGCATTCAGGTTCGTTACTTGAAGATTATTGAACCCAAGGTGAGTGTTGTTGGAACATCTCCTTACCATTCTACCTGTCATTTGTTTCCTTGGGGCGCAGATCCGGTTACCCGTGCACCCCGTTCTCGGACACATGCACAAATCCAATGCTTTGAGATGATCCTTACTGGCCCACCTACACACATCAGTGCTTATCGCCAAGATTTGTTCTTCTCCTTCCATGCGCAGCTACCTGTACCAAGGGCGTCGTTCCCCCACGATTGTCCCTCCGGCATTCGTTGGCGCTCCCAGCTCCCTACGAGGTGGCCGCATGCGCTAATACTTCTTGTCTTCTCATTTGGTTTCTTTGTTTACGAGGCATGCTAAATATCGTAATAGCTCCAATACCCGTCGCTCCCTTGGGTCCGATATATTACCCAATCAGGCGATATCGCCGTGCGTTTACCCGATGTGCAATGAACAAGGGGTTTTCAATTTATCAACTAATACAGACTCTCTTCAAAATACCCTTCCACAAAATTCTATTCACCGCGTCATTTTGGCGCTGCCTATGAAGCGGCAAAATGCAACTAGACTTTTCATGTGCATAAAGATACTCTATATGGATTTTCCGCATCGGGATAGTCCCGGGGATATTGCATATGCAGAGCCTAAATCTGATAATGTTCATAAGCTAGTGGACGCTTTTGAAGACATGGGATATGGTGCATTATGAACATATTGACAACGTATCGGTAACGACCTCCTATCGCGATTCTAGGGTCTAGGCAAATCCCATTCCCTTGTTCCATCACGTAAAAATCTGGAATAGAATAAACATGCTCAAAATAGACAAGAATGTGAGTAGGATACAATGAGGTAACTAGCGAGAATGGCCAGCAAATTGCTAGTGAGAACGGTGAGCGAGTGTACATATGTACATGAGAACGTATCTGCAAGGTAAAAAAAACAAAAAAACGGGAAAAGAGAAGTGGCTCTAATGGTATTCACGAGTGGGCAGCGCTTGTATGTGGTCCAACGGTCAATTCTGGATGTAGGGAGCTTGCCCGTCGGAAAGTGAAAGGTAATGCAACCGTCCAATCACTTGGCTGGTGTTTAGGGTTGGATAAAGGGTCCGTAGTAGCCTTTCTGATAGTTTCTCAAATCTTCCGCTGTGATATTTGACTCGGGGTCGAGTCTGATAGATACCACTACCCCCGTGCCGTGTTTCCCTAAATCAATATCAGAAAACATCTGACCCAGTATGGTGAGAGATAATAGGGTTGGAAAACTGACTTGGAGCAGTACATGGATGACGGTTCCACACCGGGGGCTTGAAGCAATTATGGATGACCCACAGGACCATATTGGGGTCCTGAGGGTTAATGGTGTAGGAGAAAGCAACAAAGGCTAAAAGGAGGGCGAGATCCCCGGCAATTCCAGTATGTTCAGAACAGTTTTCGTCTTGGTTGTTATCGTACGTTTCGGGAATGAGCTGTGGCATCCAGGAACTGGAACCCTTTCCGGCGAGTACGTTGTAAGCTGAATCGAAGCCCATGATAGAGATGGGGAGGCGAGAGCTGTGGAGAGAGTATCGAAACATCACTCTTCGCCAACCGATACCGTCCCTCATGCGCGACTCTTTCACGCTATATTTGCGACAGTCGAAAGGCACCCCTTGGAAGTGGGAATGCTCCGAATTGTAGAACAATGAGCAAACTTGAAAATCTGTCTCGCTGGTACTCATCGCTGGATTCACGCCGTTTGATGACCATTGGAACCAGCCAGTGGTTCCTACCGTGGTAATTGCTTGAGGAATCGTGGGAGGAATCCATTTCTGATCAGGGATGCGAATCTCCGATTGCTCGTCGTAGTTCGGCTTGATGAAATCAATCTTGAATAAGAAGCGCAACGGGCCGGGCCCAAATCCCGGCGAGCCGTTTGATATGTTGAACATGGCGGGTCAAAGTGTAAACGTCCCGGTGCTGAAAAGAAATTGATATTCTGCGAATATAGTAGGAGGTTCTGATATTAAGGATCATGGTAGGAAGTTATAAAAGGCGACGTTTTAGCCAGAAATGAAAGACAAAAATATCTCAATAAATATTCCGGCGCTGGTGACCGTTTCGAGCGGGGTTGCAACCCGATCCCAACATGAGGCTCTGGCAAAGATGATCGCATCGCCAATAATACTCATTCACCACGACCTGGTGATATTCCGTTCAATCCAAGAGGTGGTGCTGCGTGGCTACCCGACTGACGCTAAGAAGCGATGATGATAAGTGATATCGAAGGCATTGGAAAGTATTAGAAATGCTAACTTCGGAGCCCTTGGCTGAAGAATCGTACTTGGCTACGTTCTGTTGGCTGGATAGGCTTGAAGTCGGCCTATGACGAGCATAGCGGTGATACGCACTTCAGCGTTGCAAAGCGAGCGCATTGTTATTGGAAATTATCCATAGTGGGATCAGCCGACAATAGAAAGGGCACGTATGTTTAGTATCCCTGAAGCGAGGATGCCGCGAAGAAAATAGAGAGGAGGCGCCACGTCTGTCATAGCCATGAGAAAGTCACGAGAAGACATGGTGTGCAGGGGCTAATCATTTTCATCCGAATTGCTGGCGTGTGGCATCGACAGTGTTGCAAAGCCAAGTCGAGATAAAGCCCTCAAGGAATATCCGAGAAGCCGAATTCGGAGCTGCTTCGCTGCTCGACGCCCAATGATTTTGCCATGTCAGGTGCGTTGACGTTTGGAGTTGTGTAAGTAAATCCAATGGATTAACGGCGAAACGCGAATTCCGTCGCTGGGGAAGGGAGCACATTTTGGCCTCAGAAATGGAACAGTAACACGGGCGATTCGAGTGAAATAAGAAGAAATACTTCAAGACGAAGCGGCGAGGGGGACGGGCTTAAATATACCGTGTGTTCAGACACGGCTCGCCTCCCAGGGAAAGGAGACGGGGCGCAGGGCGACTTTTTCGTACCCTTGTTCACGCAAATGCGCCTAGTCCCGTCACCTAACTTGGTTGCCTTTTGTTGCCTTTTTTTTTTCCCAGCAAGACCATCCACCCATGGGGATCCGATGCCATAAAACGCATGGTTCCCGAGAGATAAACAAGTGTTCTGGATGCACGGGCGCACGGGACGTGTCATTCCTGACAGAGAAGGCCTAGGCTTCGTCAAAAACAGGCGGCCCTGCAGAGTGTTGTCGTATCTTCCGCCTCTGCCCACAGTGAGACTGATACTCTTTTGGACAGGATCTCTATACAGCCAGGCTGGAACTGGCACGTTGCCATAGCACTGCGTCAGCCAAAGAACCGCCGTAAAACTGAGCTAGTCACAAGTCTCCAGAGGACCAAACTGGTCTGGATGATCCGAAGAGTGCGATGATAACCATGCATCGCGCTGGATATCTCGTGGGCCGCGCATTGTCCTATTTCCTCAGTGGCCAGGTTTCAATGGGAATCACGTCGACAGCTGTCCAGGACGCGGGCCCAAAGTCCAGAAATCGAAATCTAGACCCAGCAGATCCCCTCTGAACAGGAAATACAGAGCGGATATCAAGAGAAGAATGCATTGCGAATGTCGCGGGATCACCAGGGTGGCTTGAGTCCACCGCGGTGCCTTCAGATCTGTGCCCAAGGTGAGCGGAGCCCTGCTGCTGCGTCATCTCAATCGTCCTCAAGCCTCGAATTCGTCCACCTAGGCCTGTGAGTTCATTTCGGAGCGTTGACTTGGTCGAGTGGCTGTTCACCGCGTCGGCAGGCCGATGATCCAGAGCAGTGAGGTTGGCCAAGTTAAAGTTTCTCTGGAGAGAAGCAACCTTTCCCACTCACGCCAGCCTCACGGTTGATGCATGAAGCAGCAAGGCCTTTTCACAGTCAACAATGGACGTTGCGCCTTGCTTGCTTACACGGTATATCGCGTTTGCCAGAAAGCGGATTCTAGCCGAGTTTCTACCACGAAGCTATTTATACTGCCTGTCTCCACTTTAGGCCGCGGGAAGGCTGAATGATATTGGCGGAGCTGATGGGTTCTCATTGGAGATTTTGAACTCCAAGTCCTCGAATGGATTTTCTCGCCTGTCACGCTCTGAATGAATGTATGTACAAAGGACAAATGGAGAGACGCGCAGCTATCTATACAAACTGACTGTTCCGATTTGGTAGTACACCATCAATTGAACGATTTACCCCTTGACGACTATCGGATACGGGCCTCCCAGCATTGCATGTTTCCTTTCCGTCGCAGCTCACATTGAAACATTGCACCCCGTATCCCGACTACCCTGGGGGATGCAGACAACTCGTCCGTCAAGCACGGAAAAGAAGCAACTTGCCAGCAGTGTCGTTTTCGAGAAAACGACTGCATGGAGTTTCGGGGGGCTGATAACGGCTGAATCGGAGCATATCGATGTATCGTCCCCAAAGAGGCATTTGAATTCCCGTGGCCGTGCAGTGGGACTTGGAACAGCATGGTTCTGGTCCGGGGAATGCCGCGAAAAAACACTCGCCCTTTGGATCTCAATTGTCTTGATGTTCGGATCTGCAGAGATATCGGGAAGCGTGGCGCCTTTCGCTGAAAGGGCCTGTTCCTTTGTGTTCCGATTGACTCCTTGATCTCCCCCGAAGCCTGTGAAAAAGGAAGAAGCAAGTCCAGGGGAACCTGCGACGGTCCAATCAGTTATGCTGGACGCTCCGAGACGGATTTCACGTGGCTATGAAACTGAGTATGGACCTGGGGCGTTGAAGAGAGGGCCAAGGGCTCTTTCGCATCAGGAACGGGAGCCAGTGAGCCTCTGCCGCATCCATCATGTTTATCTCCGGCCTGTACGGAGTAGCCTAGTTACCCAATTCCCACGTTACGGATCGAAGCAAGAGACTGATCCGAACAAGCTTCTACGGGCGCGACTCCGAACCGGAAGTCAGAAGTTGTGGACAGTGTCCCGGACCAATTAGCCGGACCAACACAGGAGACAACCTGCTGCTGAAACGGGTGCTGCTGGGCCAAGAACCGGACTTAAGCTAAGCTCCTTGTGTCAGGGGCGATCAGATAAGCCGGCGAGCGGCAAAAGAACTTGAATCAGTGCCAGACCCACAGCCTCCAGGGCCAATCACGACGCGGCCAGTCCGTCATGCAAGTGGGCCGCCCTAGCTCAACATTAATAATTTTGACTCACGCACCCCGGCTGCACGTAACGTTACGTATCCGGATACACGTCGCTCCGGGGGTATTGAGCACGGGAGCCAATCAGAGTGCGTTTTCTCCTGGGGCCAGCTGCGAGCTAGCCGCATTGGGACCTAGGGCTCTGCTGGCACGTGACCGCAAGGGCGCTCGGTCTTTTGTGAGTGCGAGACTCCGCGGTTGCTGCTGGCCGGTCGCTACCAGAGTCGAGTTTGGCCGCAAAAAATGGCCTTCTGGTTGGTGATGCTCGCGTGTTTTGCGGCTAAGCATCAGAAGAATCTGTTCTCGGCCTCTCCTGGAAGTTAACGCAGTGGGGCTGTAATATATGAATTCTTCTCGGCCCAAGCTCCATGGATCATTCCCGATTTGGTTAATATCCATCAGATGGGAAAATGTCTTATCAACGCTCGAACGCCCCCCGTCGCGTTCTTGCTTCCATTTCTGTCTGCCGATTCCATCCTTGACGAAGGCTCGCTGAGACTTCGTAGGCAAGGGATACCGGCTTGAGGCTTGATCTGCCTTTTCATTCTTATTCCCTTTCCTTTTTTTTTTTCATCATTCCCTACTCTCGACATCTTTACCGGTGTTGAGAGCCATAGCTAGATCAGCAATGCCTCCTGCGTCTGGGGATACGTCCCCCCAGATCCGGGAACCCATGGACGGTTCAGATGCAGACACCTTATTCACGAGCAGTGACTATGAGGCTAGACGTGAGAATCTAAGAAATACAAACCCTCACGGCCAGACCCGCCCGACAAGTGGAGTTGATGTGAGGAAGGCTGAGGAGGAATTCGCCGAACTGAGCAAGCAGCTGTCTGGGATTTCCCACCGTTCCAGGCGTCTTTCCCGCCAGCAGTCACACCGACTCAATGAGAAATCCCCAGAGGAAATCGAGGAGTCGTCCACAGAAGGAGAGCACTTTGATCTTGAGAGTGCCCTTCACGGCTCAAAGTCTGCTGAGGCGGAGGCTGGTATCCGACCGAAACAAATTGGTATGTCTTGAATCCGCTACGCTTGTCGTACACAGGCCAGGATTAACTGTATCACTCAGGTGTTGTCTGGGACGGCCTTACCGTTCGAGGAATCGGCGGCGTGCGGAATATTGTTCGTACTTTTCCAAATGCAGTTCTGGACTTTTTCAATGTCCCGCAAACCATCATGCACATCTTTGGTTGGGGGCGGAAAGGAAAGGAGTTCAATATCTTGAAAGACTTCAAAGGTGTCGTCAAACCCGGTGAGATGGTGCTGGTGCTGGGCAAACCAGCCGCTGGCTGCACGACGTTCCTCAAAGTCATCGCGAACCAGAGATTCGGCTATACTGGTGTTGACGGTGAAGTTCTATACGGGCCCTTTGACGCCAATACCTTTTCGAAGCGCTTCCGGGGCGAGGCCGTTTACAACCAAGAAGATGATATTCATCATCCAACCTTGACCGTTGGCCAAACCCTTGGGTTTGCGCTTGATACAAAAACACCGGGCAAGCGTCCCGCTGGCATGTCCAAGGCTGAGTTCAAGGAAAAGGTGATTGCTTGCTTTCTGCCGTCTATATCTCGTGTGTTAACTTTTCGACCAGGTCATCAATCTCCTTCTTAAGATGTTCAATATTGAGCATACGATCAACACCGTGGTTGGTAACCAGTTCGTCCGCGGCGTCTCGGGAGGCGAGCGAAAGCGTGTCAGTATTGCAGAAATGATGGTCACGTCCGCCACGGTTCTGGCTTGGGATAACACCACTCGTGGCTTGGATGCCTCAACTGCGCTCGACTACGCCAAGTCCCTCCGGATCATGACGAACATCTACAAGACAACGACTTTTGTTTCTCTTTATCAAGCATCGGAGAATATCTATGACCAATTTGACAAGGTCATGGTGATCGACTCGGGCCGCCAGGTGTACTTTGGCCCTGCAAAAGCGGCGCGAGCATATTTCGAGGGCCTAGGCTTCAAAGAAAAGCCTAGACAAACCACGCCTGATTATCTTACCGGCTGCACTGACCCGTTCGAACGCGAATATAAGGAAGGCCGAAACGCAGAAAATGCGCCATCAACTCCGGAGGCGCTTGTTCAAGCGTTTGAGCAGTCCCAGTTGAACAAAGATCTCGAAAGCGAGATCACTACTTACCGCGCCCAGTTGGAGCAGGAGAAGAATGTTTATGAAGACTTTGAAATCGCCCATCGCGAGGCAAAACGTAAATTTACCTCCAAGTCCTCAGTATATTCGATCCCGTTCTACCTTCAGGTCTGGGCTTTGATGCAACGGCAATTTTTAATCAAGTGGCAGGATAAATTTTCTCTTGTTGTCTCATGGGTTACGTCTATCGGTGTTGCCATCGTGCTCGGTACAGTGTGGCTCAAGCTCCCCAAAACCAGTGCCGGTGCTTTTACCCGTGGTGGTGTGTTCTTTTATTTCGCTATTCTTCCAATGCACTTCCAGGCCTTTCCAGTGAACTCGCGTCGACTATGTTAGCCCGGCCCGATTGTGAACAAGCATCGTGCTTTTACGTTTCACCGTCCGAGTGCTTTGTGGATTGCCCAAATCATCGTCGATTTGGCGTTCGCTTTCGGTGCAGATCTTCATCTTCAGCATTATCGTCTACTTCATGTGCGGTTTGGTTCTGGATGCCGGAGCGTTCTTCACATTCGTACTTATTATTATCACGGGCTACCTTTCTATGACCCTGTTTTTCCGTACTGTTGGATGCGTGTGTCCAGACTTTGACTATGCACTCAAGGGAGTCTCCGTCCTTATCACGCTATTTGTGATAACTGCTGGTTATCTCATTCAATGGCAAGATCAACAAGTTTGGCTTCGCTGGTTCTTTTACGTCAATTCCGTGGGTTTGGGATTCGCTGCGTTGATGATGAACGAATTCAAGCGGCTCACCATGACCTGCACGCCGGATTCCCTCATTCCAGCAGGGCCAGGTTATAACAATCTCTCCCACCAAGTTTGCACTCTTCCAGGTGGTGACCCAGGGTCAAGCATCGTCCCGGGCACGAATTATCTTAAACTTCAGTTCCGATACGACCCCGCCGATCTCTGGAGGAATTGGGGAATCATGGTCGCCCTTATTGTTCTGTTCCTTTTCACGAATGCCTACCTGGGCGAAACGTTGACGTATGGGGCCGGAGGGAAGACAGTGACTTTCTTTGCGAAGGAAAATAACGAGTTGAAACAGCTTAACCAGAAGCTCCAACAGAAGAAGGAAAATCGACAACAGAAAAAGGTTGACGAGTCCGAATCGAATCTCAAAATCGAATCCAAGGCTGTTTTATCTTGGGAGGACCTCTGCTATGACGTCCCAGTTCCCGGTGGCACGCGTCGTCTGCTTAACAACGTCTTTGGATATGTTGAGCCAGGAAAACTCACAGCGTTGATGGGCGCCAGCGGCGCTGGTAAGACTACGCTGCTTGATGTATTGGCATCACGAAAGAATATTGGAGTTATCAGTGGTAATGTTCTCGTTGATGGTCGAGTGCCGGGATCTTCGTTCCAGCGTGGAACATCCTATGCTGAGCAACTTGACGTGCATGAACCGACGCAAACTGTCAGAGAGGCACTTCGATTTTCCGCTTCACTACGTCAGCCTTACGATATTCCCGAAGAAGAGAAGTTTGCTTATGTCGAAGAAATCCTCTCGCTGCTTGAACTCGAAAACCTTGCAGATGCCATCATTGGAAGCCCGGAAACTGGATTGTCCGTTGAGGAGCGAAAGCGTGTCACAATCGGCGTGGAACTCGCTGCCAAACCACAGTTGCTACTTTTCTTGGACGAGCCAACGTCCGGTCTCGACAGTCAGTCTGCTTTCAACATTGTTAGGTTCCTCCGGAAACTAGCCGCTGCTGGCCAAGCAATTCTCTGTACTATCCATCAGCCGAACTCTGCACTATTCGAAAACTTTGACCGTCTGCTTTTGCTCCAACGTGGTGGTCAATGTGTTTATTTCGGTGATATCGGACAGGATGCACGCGTTCTCCGAGACTACTTCTACCGCAATGGCGCTGATTGCCCACCAAACGCAAACCCGGCTGAATGGATGCTTGACGCAATTGGTGCCGGACAGACCCCGCGAATTGGCAACCGTGACTGGGGAGATGTTTGGAACACCTCCGCAGAGTTCGCTCAAGTGAAGCAAAAGATCATTGATATCAAGTCTGAACGCATGAAGGCAGCTGAAGGCGCAGCTACGTCGACTGAAGTCGAGAAGGAATATGCAACGCCATTATGGCATCAGATCAAGGTGGTTTGTAGGAGAACGAGCCTTGCTTTCTGGCGTTCTCCAAACTATGGATTCACTCGACTTTTTAGTCACGTCGCGTTGGCCTTGCTTACTGGGTTGGCTTATCTTCAGCTGAATGACTCCCGATCTTCTCTTCAATACCGCATTTTCGTTATTTTCCAGATTACTGTCATTCCGGCGCTCATTCTAGCTCAGGTGGAGCCAAAGTACGACATGTCCAGGCTGATCTTCTACCGCGAATCCGCAGCCAAGGCATACAAGCAATTTCCTTTCGCGTTATCGATGGTCATTGCGGAGATTCCTTACAGCATTCTCTGCGCAGTTGGCTTCTTCCTCCCGATCTATTATATCCCGGGATTGCAACCAGCCAGCAGCCGAGCTGGATACCAGTTCTTCATGGTTTTGATCACCGAATTCTTTGCCGTCACGTTGGGCCAGACAATATCAGCCCTGACACCCAGCACGTTTATTGCTATGCTTTTAAATCCACCTATTATCATCATTTTCTTCCTCTTCTGCGGTGTCTCCATCCCCAAGCCCGCGATCCCCAAGTTCTGGCGAGTATGGTTGTACGAATTGGATCCCTTCACGCGGTTGATGAGTGGCATGATCGTCACAGAGTTACACGACAGACCGGTGATATGCAAACCTGAAGAATTGAACCGATTCGTTCCGCCTCCGGGACAAGACTGCGTCTCGTATATGAAGGACTTTTTCGCCAGCGGTGGTTCCGGGTACCTGGCGAAGAATGCCACTGATATATGCGAGTATTGTGCATACAAAGTTGGGGACGAGTTCTATAAACCGTTTGGTATGGAGTTTGACCATAGATGGCGGGACCTGGGTATTTTCCTGGCCTTCATTGGGTCTAATCTGATTCTGTTGTTCATTGGGGTAAGTTTTGCGCCTGATTCTTGATGGACTGAGTGATGGTGTGCTAACTTGTTACTCTTTCTCTAGTCACGATACCTCAATTTCAACCGCAGGTGACCTTTGGACGTCAATTTCTGCTACCTATCAATCGTGTCCTTTTTACCCGTTTTGCATTATAGAGAGTTTTGATTTCAACTGGCAGGCAATCGTGTTTATGTGGATATGGCACATTTTTGCCTTTAATAATTCGATGTTGCATAGTTATTGGTCTCCCTTTGAAAAGTTTTGAACCGCCGTTGTGAGAGATTGGACTTTGGACGTGCCACGCGCCTTTCAAACGGTATAGAGTGTTGATTTTCTATTTTGGTTGGCATTTTTGATATCATGCGGTGTAACTAACTAATAACCGAGCATTTTCTTTTGGTCATGTTAGAGGTTCCGCAGAACTTCCCTTTACCAGAGTCGGCTATGCTTTGGCCGCAATGCGAGGTTTTGGGTCTGCTTGATATATGGACACCTCTTGCCTGAACTATTCTAGATAATTATTTGGGTGGTTATACAGGAACCTGGCAGCTCCGCATCTGGATTATTACGCTCACCACTCTGTCCTCACCTTTCAAAACAGTAAGACTTTTAACAAAATATTCTTGAAACATGTAGTTGCCAGCTTCCTCTGTACAATGTTCCTGATTAATGATCTGGATTCTGCTTGCTTTTTTATGTCATGTGTGTCTGCAAACCAAAGCACCACAATTCTGCGGTGTGACAGACACCTCCATGCTGTGAATTGCTGTTGTCTTCACTAACATCTGTTCTCTCTACGAACCCCTGGAAGCCCGGGCCTATAAATACCCTGGAGTGACCAGTCCTAACTACATAGCTATCTAACCAACACTTCCAGCAATCCATTCTGCTTTTGCCTGCTCTAGCAAGACTCGATGCCCCATCAAACAATGTTGTCCGACAAGGAGAAACTCGAACACTTTCTGCAGACGAACAGGCACATCAAGTACATTCGCGTTCAATGGATCGACTACTCTGGCGTGTTACGTGCCCGCTTCGTCCCCGTCGAGCGCTGCCTCCGAATCGCCAACGGCGATGAGACCATCCACCTCGCCCAGAACAGCATGCTCATACCTATCTCTACCGCGCCCAAGATATTCCCTCTCAGCGACCACCATGAGACCTGGGACCTGCGTCCAGATTGGTCCTCGTTGCGCCCCTGCGGCTTCCTAAACAACCATGCTACCGTCATGAGCTTTGTTGACCAGCAGGAGGCAGAGACGAGGTTTGACAAATGTCCGCGCATGCGTCTAGTCCAAGCGCTTAAACGACTCGAGCATGAGTGGGGTGCAAAGGTCAAGATTGGCTTTGAGATCGAGTTCATGCTCTTCGGCAGTGATAATAACAGGATTCGCCCGATGGATAGGCTGAATGGCTACTCGAGAACGGCTGGGCTACGGGCATCGACGATGAACCTCGTCGACGAGATTCTCAATGCTTTGGAGCGATCTTCCATTCGCATTCATCATTTCCACGCGGAGATCGAGGATCAGCTAGAGATTGCTCTTGCTCCCGAGCCCGCCCTTGACGCCGTCGATTCGTTGGTTCTAGCACAAGAAACCATTCGTACGGTATGCATGCGTCGGGACCTAAAGGCTACCATGACCCCAAGCCGTGTCTGTCCGGACCGTTAAACGGCTTACATCTCCATCTTTCGCTCGACAAGATCGAAGGTGCATTGCCAGACAACTTTCTTGCCGGCGTCCTTGATCACATGAACGCGCTCTGCGCATTCGGAATGGCAAACTACGACGGCTACGTCCGCTCTTCCAATGATGCCGCGGGTGCTTGGATTGGATTCGGCACTGATAACCGTGACATGCCGGTGCGGAAAATCAGTGACTGTCGTTGGGAGTTCCGCATGATGGATGGAACTTCTAATCCCTACTTGTTCGCCGCAGTTGTTTTATACGCCGGTTTAGATGGACTTGCAAAAAAGACAGAGTTACGATGGAAGGATTGCACTTTCTTCCCGCACTTGATGACTGAGGAAATGCGCGTAGAGCATGGCATGGACGTGCCCATGCCAGTCTCACTTCGAGGGGCATTAGATTGCTTGAAGAAAGATACTGCTGTGGCAGCTTGGATTGGTGATGACTTGTTGAAGTGGTACATGTCCGTCAAAGAGAAAGAGGTAGAGGAGTTCAGCAAGATGCATGACGACCAGAGGCGGATTCGCTTCTTGGAGTACTTCTGAAGCACACCTGGAGGAGATCGGGTTGATCCCTTTCCTGGTTCCGCACATAGTACCAACCATGTTGGTCGTTCGGATGCAGCAGTTGGTTTTCGGTGACTCGATCTACATGTAGAACATCTGCCTGCGCAATATCCGAGGGTTTGACGGTCGAATAGTCGCATACAGCCAGTGGCCAGTCGTTGTTCGGTCCGATTAGTGGTTTCCAGTATTCCCAGCCAGATTGGCAAATATCCCTTGAAGACTCTGTAATCAACGCCACCAAATGAAAATCAGATCGTCGTATGTCTTTTCGTTCCCAAGATCCGTTGCCTGCGGAGAACGTGAGAGGCAAAGGCGTGTAGATTCTGTCCGCAACCTTGACGACTCTTCCAGCTCTCTTGGCTCTTTGGCAAGCGCCTCCGATAGCTTAAAAAGCGACCTAGCATGTTCCACTGGCATTCTCGCCTTATGGCGTTCGGTGATAACGGCAGCCTCCCGAAGGTGCTTTCTATTTTTGGGTTAATGCTGTGGGTTCGACATATTGAGAATGGGCGCGCTTACATAGCAGTCTCTACCTTGCCTTGATCAAGAGCTGCACACCCCATGCGGTACACACATGCTCCACAAAAAGGATCGGAGAGTAGATTATCCCCTGAGATCCACTTATTGTAGGCATCTGTAAAGTGTCTCTCCGCTGACTCGAAATCGCCATCAGCGCGATTCACAGTCCCCAGGGCATAGTTGGTGCTGCAGGAGAGTTAGAATGTGAACAAATGGCAGTGATGGACATACTTACTAGGCGACCATTGCCCAATTGTACGGCTTTGCTCCCTCTAGTTGTTCAAGGCCTTGAGTCAGAATATCCCTTGAACGCTGATTTTCTCCCGCCCATATCAGGTTGTTCCCCATTCCCCATTTCAAGATCGCAGGCCATTCTGTCGTATCTGCACTGTTATCTTTGGCCCACTCAAGCCAGTGTTCCCGTGCTTTCTCTTGAAAAATCACCGCCTCAGGATAATTGTTCATTGAGGCGATGCCATCGGCAAGACTCTCTGCACACCACGCCTCTTCTCGAAGGTTGCGTGGCTGAGAACTAGCAAAGATCTCGTATGAAAGCTTCAGTTCTTTAACCCCTTCCTCAGCCCTGCCCACCCGTGCCAGTGCCTGACCCCTGTGAGATGCCAAATCACCCTCAATGTCGGCTTGGATGCTCTTTGGCTGGGGCGGAATTGTTGGGATGGCCATGGCATTGACCTCCAAAAGATCAAGAAGGTCATTATAACCATTGGTTTCGATAAGATACCTACAATTGGATCAGTTCCTCCACAGTTAATATGTGGTACCAGTGCTTACCGCTGACATGCATTGTTCAGGTTACAGTATTGTACCAACGCTGAAAATTTGGGATTGGCACACTTCTCTTCGCGGAAACCATCTCTCAAGCTGAGTACATGAGGAAGGTAGAGGGAGCATTGCTTCCACGCATGATACATTTGAGCAAACTCGGAATCCTTCCGTGGAAAAGCAGCAGAGACCAACAGGGCCGCATTGTTAAAACTCTTCTGGCGGTCTTCAAAACTCAGAAAATACTTAAACGATGTTTGAACAAGCCTGTGGACTGAGAATGCTCGTTGCTCCTTGTTGCGCTTGACCAGAGCAAGGGTCATCAAAGTCTCCATCTCGTCTGAAAAATCAAACGGATCTTTACAGAACTCAAGAGAACCTGAAAGAACATCAGGATCCTTGGGTTCAAAGAGCGCCTGAGGGATGTTGTCGGGGGAAAGAAAAGCTAGTACACCTAGAAGGGTGCTGGATCTTTTGTTCAGCGACCGGAATGACATCTCCCAGAGAGCATTGATCGAACTGTTTTCAAAAATGCCATGGACCTTCTGTGGGTGCCTCTTGTACATTTCAACAAACTCCTCAATGGACCAAGAACGGCGATGAATCAGGCCAGCCATCAAAGATAATGCAAGAGCATGCCCGCTAAGTTTAAGTGACAACTCATGTGCACTATTCGCCTCCTCTTCAGTCAGCTGGTTGCTGATGTCGGCTGAGAGCAAGTAAGTCAAGAATTGAGAGCCTGTTTCAGTATCCCATTCTGTGATTTCAAGTCCTCTATCTGCTGGAGAGAGCCCAAAGGCACGATTGCGAGTTGTGAGTACCACGTCTCCTCGATCGCTGGTTGGCCAGTACGTCATCAGGAGCTCCGCAGATTCGACATTGTCAAATATCAGCAGCCATCGGCACTCTATATGTATTAGCGGGGGGATATCAGACAATCCTTTCACCCTTCTTACCCGTATTCTGGAGCCAGTCCAAGACAAGAGTTCTGTTCTGGTCATGATCTTTGGGCTGAGCGCCCGGTAGTTTCAATCGCATGGCAAAGTCAGTGAAGCTTTGCCGAAGGGTGACTTCCTTCTCAGCAGCTACCCACAACATTGCGTCCAGCTCCTTGCGGTGAATTCTAGTCTCAGCGTACCGCAGAGCAACAGAACTCTTGCCAACTCCGCCGATACCGTACAGAGCGAGTGACCGGAATGACTGGCTGGAATCCTCCGCTCCGCTATTAAAGTATCTGTCCATTTGAATAACGTCCTCGGTACGGTCAAAGAATCTAAGCGTTCTTGAGGTAGGATAGATAAAACAGGGAAGGCTTGCTGGCTCAATCCGCGTCTGTTGAAGCGGGACTTGAGATGCGCTCAAGGAGGATTGTAGCTGGGTGAGGTCATCAAGCCCGGAGAACCTAGACATCATCTCTAGACGAGAAACTGCCTCCTCAGTTTCAGAATTCAAAGCGCTGACCTGCTGTTCGAGCGGACTCCAGACACCGCGATCTTCTTACAAAATAGTGTGAGAGTCCCAGAAAGAATGTGGAACTTACCTGCTAATCGCCCTTGATTGCCCTGACGAACTTAATGGCTGCAATGAGAACTGAGAGCAAGGAGTTGGCGATCTGAAAGCTTGTATCTCGTATCTCTGGCAGCACTTTGATTGTTTTGTCCCGATACTTGGTGAGGAGATCGATATTCTGCCTCGAGGGTCTCACAGGTGCACAGACCGATCCCTGCCTGCGGGGTCACAAGCTGCAAGCACCAGGCCCAAAGCAGCCCTGGAAAGCCCTGCGATAGTCAACCTTGCGGCAATAGTTTGGCGCTTAGAAATTGCTTCCTCTTACTGTAATTGTTATTGTTGCTCCTGTTTTGCCCGTCATTCCCACCTCCTTTTAAAGGAACTGTCACCAGGAACAATGGTGCTTGAATTGGCCAAGGAGCTGACGGACAGTTCTGTTAAAAATCAATCCCACAAGGCCATTCTTGTAGGAACAGGGGAGAATACGTGGATTTGGTCTCCCGATGGATGGGACCTAACACGCCCGGCAGACCCAAGCGCGAACTCGTCGAAGAATGGCGTCCACCTCGACTGTGAACTCGTCAACGTCAAATTTGACCCAGTTAAGACGGCCTTGGTGATTATCGATATGCAGAACATTGGATTGAACAAAGCCCTCGATCCTCCATCTGCCCCTCCCATGTACGAAGCGCAAGACGCCATCCTTCAATACGCAATACCCGCAGCGCGCAAGCTGGGCCTCCAGATCATTTGGCTCAACTGGGGACTCACTGAGGCGGATCTGGCAAGCATAACGCCGGCCGAAATTAGGGTGTTTGCGTTCGAACCCAACACCACAAAGGTCGACTACGGCCTGGGAGACCAGCAGGGTGACTTGAACGACCCCACAAACTTCCTCAAGTGCGGCGAACGGCCGAACCTCGTCAAATTGCCGGGCACGGAGCTTGGAGAAATTGCGCTGGAGGATGGCAGTCGGGTGAATGCCGGGCGGGTGATGATGAAGGGATCGTGGAATGCGGGCTTGCATGGGCCTCTGGCCGGTGCGTACGAGGAGGGCAAGAAAGCCGCCCGTCCAGATGTTTGGATTGACAAGAATCGCAACTCTGGACTCTGGAACGAGAAGACTGCCTTTGGTGAATATCTCAAGAAGGAAGGCATCCGCACACTGCTGTTTTCGGGCGTCAATACCGATCAGTGTGTTGGAGCTACCCTGCAAGATGCCCATGCTCAAGGGTTTGATACCATCATGTTGAAGGACGGTTGTGGGACGGATAGCCTGCCATACGCAAAGGCTACCTATGAGTTCAACTGTGCCCGAGCCTGGGGCTTTCTTTCCAGCTGCAAGGCACTCGCCAAAGCTGCTGGATCTTACTAGTTATGATGTATGTAGTTAATAGTTTGAGGGCAACACAGTGAGTCAGGACAGGGTGACAGTCTTGTTCGTTGCTTACGATATCGCTGCTTACTAATCACCCTCATGTAATTGACCACCCAACAACCCAGCCACTGTCGGCCCAAAATAGAGAAGGATTCTCTGTGTATAAATTAGCATCAGTCTATCAGATAACTATGCTTATGAACATGAGAATATAGTTGTGTTTGCATGCCAAACATCAATATGAGGACTGGCGGTCCCTCGATCTCACCGGCGATGCTCGCTGCCTTTGCCCTCGGGTTCGCAGTGGAGACAGACCGGCCCCAGGTCTCGGTGCCCCAAGTCTCCCCTGCCAGTTCCGCAGGCTCCCGCATCAAACCCCTTGGCCTGTTGCTAAAAGTCCATCTGTTGGGCTGCGCCAACTTGCTGTCGCAACCCATCTTTTCCTCTGCTTCAGCATGGAGTCAAGGTCTCGCGCTTCATCAATCCCCCTTCTTTCTCTGACCTCTAAGCTCCCCATGGGATTGACTGCCTGGACGTGATGGCGTTCTTTCGGCAGGTTTGGACTCTGTTTGTGAAAAACGTCCTGATTACGCTCGTTCGCCCGTGGTTGACGACATCCATCCGAGCCTTTCTTTTGCCAGTCGTCTTCGTGGCATTTCTGTGCGTGGATTCAATGAGCGCGCCCCGTTCCGACTTGTTATTCTAACCCTGACGCTAGATCTTATGCTCGAAATCTATTCATTCCACCCGCGAAATTTGGTATCGGTGAACCGACTCCCATCCGCTCTTTACCCAATGCTCTCGATGCGGTCTCTGGCGGGAGAGACAAAGTCGTGTTCGTCAACAGTGGCTTCACAGGCGGAGCCATCGATCGTGTTATCGCCCAGGTTGCCGAACCCGTCAGGTCAAGTGGGAAGAAGGTGGAAATCCTCTCTTCTCCCGACCAATTAGCCGATTCCTGCAAAAGTACATTGCTTGGAACGAGTTACTGTATCGCAGCTGCGGTTTTCTATGCGTCTCCCACTGAAGACCTGGCCAACATTGGAACTATACGCTCAAGGCAGATGGCAGCTTGGGAGGCGGCAAGATCCGGACCACAGACACCGACAACGATGCTCAGATATACGTCCTGCCATTCCAGCATGCGGTGGACTGGGCCATCGCGTCTGTTGACGACACCAGTGATGGTGCTTCTCCTGCAGAGGCTGTTTGTAACCCGTGCAAGCTGATCGTTGATGAGAGCCCTTGAAGTCTGACGTCTAGTAGGTTATGGAGTATCCGTACACGTCGAAAACCGTAGAAGAGCGAGAAGAGACCATTCGCATTCGTTATCAAGGTGCCATTATCGACATTCTTGCTATCGCATTCTTGATCGGCATGATCGGCGTGACGTATCAACTCACAGGTCTCGTCGCGGCTGAGCGTGAATTAGGCATGAGCCAGCTCATCGACTGCATGATGCCAAATAGAGCACACTGGCAACGGCAAGCCGCCAGGTCCATTGCTGCGCATCTTGCCCTGGATGCAATCTATCTGCCTGGATGGATCGTGATTGCAATCATTTTGAATTTTAAGCGTGTTCAGCAATACCTCAGCAGGGATTCAAATCATATTCGAAT